ACAGACTGGATACGCGGGCTTCTGCAAGACTAGGCCAGTTTGGGACCACGGATATACAGGCGCCGATGCTCAATTTGATCTCCCAGGAGTCGCATCCTGAGGAGTGGTGAGGTGCTCTTTTTGTTCGGCGCAGTGTTTTGAGGAAGGAGAACAAAACTGAGGGCTACCGCGATCACTCCAGCTACTCCCCCTCCTTCTCCTCCTCCTCCTCCTCCTCCTCCTCCTCCTCCTCCTCCTCCTCCTCCTCCTCCCCATCCTTCTCCTCCTCCTCCTCATCATCATCAGCAGCAGCAGCATCGGCATCATCAGCAGCATCATCAGCAGCATCAGCGTCGTCATCATCATCATCATCATCATCATCATCATCATCACCATCATCATCATCATCATCATCATCATCATCATCATCATCATCATCGTCATCATCATCATCATCAGCAGCAGCAGCATCATCCTCATCCTCACCCTCATCATCCATCACCACCACCATCGTCGTCGCAGTCGTAGTCGTATTCGTCGTCCTCCTCCTCCTCCTCCTCCTCCTCCTCCTCCTCCTCACCCTTCTCAACATCGTCCTCATCGTCAGCATTAGCAGCATGTCATCACCACCGTCGTTAGCGTCACAATCATCACCATAACGATTATAATCACCTGCCCCTCCTGTTCGCACGCTGCACCCGTGCACCGCATGTGGTGATCAGCGGATAAGCGAGTCTCTGGCCCTGCAGGTGATCGCGACGCCGACACGGACCAAAAGTGCGTCCAGAAGGCAGTGGACATCAGTGTGACCGCTCAGCATGAGTACCACTCTGATCGCCACGAGCGCGACCGCTTGCTGGTGGCTGATCGGTTGTTCACCAGTAATGCAGTCGAGACCGGTAGACTCGCGGAATGTCCCAGACGGCCCGCTCATCGAAACTTGAGGGAGGTGCAGCGGCGGTTGCTGGAAAGCTCGCTCGCCGTGCGGCAACGTACTTGTCCCAGTCGAACTCCTCCCCTGCGCCTATGTTCTCGGAGTCCTCGGCGGCGCGCAAAGCAATGGGGCTAGGGCGACAGGGGGTAGCCCTCTGAGAAGGCAGGGAGCTTCTTGACGGGTGCTCGGACCACCTCTCAAACAATCAATGGGGGAGAGGGAGGAGAGACAGGGGGAGAAAACGGAACAACAACAAAAGTGGAGGCGGAGGGCCTTCGCTCGCCGCCGCGGTCCTCGTTGCCGCCGGTGGGTTTCCCCTTCTTGCCCCTCCGGTTCTTCGGGAACATCTTCTTCAACTCCTCGTTGACATCGTAGCTTGAGCCCGCCCGCCCCTGCCTGCACCAGGAGCGACCACGGGGCAGTGAGCGCCAGCGCGAGTCACCAGGAAGATAACCCGGTCGCCAGCGGTGGCCCTTCGGGGGCGAAGACAAGGGCCCTCTTAGGGCCCTTGTCTTCACCCCCCCATTGAGGTCACGCCCATTACCGCCCGCCCAGCCCTCCCCGCCTGCAACTCGTTCGCCCGCCGCTCCGTCGCCTGGTGCTCCTCCCGCTCCTGCTCATGCTGCCGACCTTCCCGGTCCGCGCCCACCCCTGCAGGATCCCCCTCGCCTTTGGCCCCCTCCCTCTGTTCTCCCCCACACCGTCCTTCCTCTCTTCCCTCCGCCACCTGCTCCTCTATCCTCAGCAGCGCAATAGGCGCTGACTGGAGTGTCTCCAGGTCCAGGCAAGCATGGACCAGTGAAACGTTTGCCAGTGTGGACCCCAAAGAGTGACGGCTTGAACTCGGGCTGCGTAAGCTATCTGGCGCAAGCTATGTGGTGCAAGCCATGTTGCGCATGCCATGTGCTGCAAGCTTTGGTGTGCTAACTCTGTGGCGCAAGCCGTGTAATGCAAGCTCTCTTCGGAGCAAGCCGTGCGGTGTACGCTGCGTGGTGCAAGCGCTGTGTGGCGCAGGCTAACGTAGTGCAAGCTGCGTGGTGCAGGCTGTGTGGTGTAAACTGCGCGGTGCAAGCTGTGTGGTGCCGGCTGTGTGGCGCAAGCTACGCGCAAGCTTTGCGGCGTAGGCTACGCGGTGCAAGCGTGGTGCAGTCTACGCGGCGCAAGCGCCGCGGCGCACGGAGCTCCACGAGGCGCCCACGGGCGCACACGAGCGGGCACAAGGCGCCCGCGGGCGGGCACCGCGCGAGCGGAAACCTGCAGCACCCTTCCAGCACGAGGCGCCCAAGAAGAAAAGCGTGGAGTGCATCCAACGAGTTGCGAAAACGAGCACTGACCCCTGGGTGCAGCCACTGCTCTGGGAACGCTGTAAGCTCTTCCACGGCCGGACGCGCAGAGCCCCCCTGGGCGCCGTTGGGCACCCTTGGGGGTTCCCCGCGCGGCGCGCGCAGGGGCCCCAGGAGCGTTGTTGGAGGCCTCGTCCTCCGGCATGCCCTGCGATGGTCCCAGGGGTCCGTGCCGGATCTCTCTTGGGGGCCTCTTGGGCTGCCTTGCAGGGCCAGGGGGCTGGCCGCAGAGACCAACGTCATG